AAATTCTTTCACACATACAAATAAATTACCGCCATTCACGAATGATTTGCAAAACACGCATTACATGTATAAGCAAGACAAGAACTGATCATAAGATAAACTCTTTCACAAACTTTGCCTTATTGAGGTAAACCTAGGGTATTTCGGCAGCATAACATTGTGTTTTTGGGTAGGCTCTGGGATAAGTTGCGGTTTAGGTAGTTTCTAGGTAAACTATATGCTGGATAGGGATCTTAAGGAATCAGGCTCCCAAGTCGTACCATACTATAACCCTTTTGAGTTTAGCATGATACCTCAAATCATCCTCAGATTTGAGTTCAACTTGGTTGGGAAGTTTTCGCATTTCCCCCACTATTGTAGGAGTCACACTACTTTCTTCCTTTTTTGCTATAGGGATATCTCGGGAATAGAACTTTATGCATGGATGCAAAAAAAAAAAAAATACATCACAAATTTAAACCGCAAATTGATATAGTAAAAACATAGCACCCATTTAAGAAAGTAAGAAAATGCTTATCGTTTGTTAATGTAGTTTGACACTCTTTAGTGTCCCCAGCGGAGTCGCCACTGTCGCAACCGCCCCTCCGAGATCGGGGTACCCGTCACGAACGATCGGAGTCGCCATCGACCTTAATTTGTGGTGGATCGAACACCTTTGGTCCGGTCTCGACCTTAGGGTCGAAACCGGGATCTGGTCTGCGAATTTTGAGATTTTGGGTTCAGGAGTACAGTTACGTGTGGGGAAGTGTATTCACACCCCACAACGCCCCAGGATGGGTACTATTTAAATCGATAAGTTTTTAAGGGTTTGGTGTATTATTATTTGCGGCTTTATTAATGTATTTAATTTAATGATTTGATTAATTAGATAGTTATTAATATTTGATCATACGTCTATTGACGTAATTCTCAAAATTAAAGAAAGAGTTTTTGGTTAGTTGGACTCGAACCTATTGGTTGCCTACGTACCCGAGTAGTCGGGATCAAAGTCCACGTAGTTCGATAAAATTGAAACGTCTTGAAATATGAAATTTAACACATTCTATTGATTGTATTAATGTTTGAGATTGAGTTTTTTTTTGTAAAGGGTTTTGATATTTTGCTTTAACAACCGATTTATTGATAATTGTTAAAGAGTTTGACTAACGAAACCACGGTCTATTGACCATAGTTTCATATTAAGGACTCTTAGGGGAAAATATGTAAACAAGCAAAGATGACTTTCAAAAGTTGATAATTCCAATGGGAGTTGAGCATCATAACATTTTTCAAGAGATAGGTTTATGGTATTAACCTAGCGGAGGATCGTATAACATTCGATTCGATTTACGTATTAAGGTAGTTTGAGATTAAAAATAAAACAGTTTATTCTTGAAGCAATTGTCAGGCGTCCAGCTTAGTGGTAATATGTCTGGAATGTGGAATATATTTTGACTGTTAGGTCAAAAGTTCGAAACTCAACAAGTTCACATTTTTTAGCTCGTTTTTCAACAGAAGGAAGGTGGCAGCAGGTAATTTAATGGAAATTAGAGGGGTATTTTAGTCATTTCTGAATCCGGGTTTGAACACCCTCTCAGCACAGAGCCGAACCCTAGCCCCCAAAGGTAGCCGCTCACACTCGCTTCTCTCTCTCTCGTTCTTTTCTTCTCGTTTTCTCTGGAACACAAACAAAACAGAGAAACAAAAACAAACCAATCCCAATCACCCCATTCTTGTTTTCTTCTCACGACGAACAAAATGAAAACCCTAGCCTTCCTTTCTAAAAACGACCCTCTCTTTCTCCATCTCGATCAACCTCCCTCCTTCTCTCGCCCTCCATAACGATGAGATGGAAGTGACCCCTTCCTCACCGACGAAGGCGACGGCGGCAGCAAGATCGGCGAGGTTTGGCGACAAAGATATTTACGACATTGACTCTGACGGCCAGAGGTAAAGTACCTGACCATTGCATGTCGATTTTTAGGGTTTTGTTTGGGATTTTCGGTGATTTTTCAGGTTCTGACCTCTCTCTGTGTTTCGATTTCTGGTGGGTTTTGAGTTCAATTCGGTATCTGATTTTTTTGTTTTTGGGTTCTTGGTGTAAGTTGCAGGCAAGAAGTGGAAAGATGGTAGTCTCCGGCGGTGGAAATGAAGCAGCTTCCGACCGGCGACGAGGAGGGATCAACTTCCGACAGGAAGTTTCAGGTGGGTTTTTGGCCTGCAACTCGAGTTTGGGGGTTCTTTTGGCGATTTCAATTTATTTGGTGATTCGATCTTTGCGGGTTTGGGGTTCTGACTGTGTTTTATTATCTCTGGGGTTTTGGTTCTGGTTTTGGTCGAAGGAAATGGAAGAAAGGGATTCGCCGGCGCCATTTTAGGATCTCGCCGGCGACGAAAATGACGACGGCATGGTGGTGTCCCTGCGGTAAGTTTTTTAGGTTTTACTGAATTTTGTTTGGCTTTAGATTTCTGGGTTTGGATTTCTGATTTGCTTCTTTTTGGGTTTTGATTTTATGGCCTTGGAAGCTATAGGAAAAGGCGAGTACCGAGACTGCACCGCCGCCGAGGACAGTAGCGCCGGTGACGGGATGAGGTAAGGGCTCGTTTTATGCCTTTGATTTTGACTCTACTTGAAGGGTTCTGACTTCTATACTAAATTGATGTGGGTAGGAATTCTCAAGGTTGGAAATGAATGCTATTGTGCATTAGAAAATGATGTTTGGTATGTTCTTTAGCTATTATTTTGGTATGCTGAGTTTTAATGTTTGATTGTTTTAGGTTTATGATTTGAAAACCCAGATTTGTGTTAAAATGACAATAGTCCTTAAACTTGATAGCTACCTGAAGTCACTACTATTGCGTGAGATCCTTAGGAGCTTTGTGTCATTTCTCATGAATGATTTCGATTCTTACTATGTTGGGCTGATGTAGGTATAAACTTTGGGATTGATTAAGTTGTCAAATTAGTGGTTTTTATGATGTATGTAAATCTGCAATCTTTGTGCTCGTGGTGCTTGAATCTGGGAGTCTGTTTTGTGGTGTTCATAATAATTTTTGGAATTGTGAAGTTTATGGCTTGAAGAATCAGATGGAAATTTTGTGTTTATAACTGAAATTTTGTGCGAATACGGTATCTTTCAAATATGAGATTTCTATAAGTTTATTGTAGCTTATGTGTTTTGATGTTAGCTTAGTTGTATATGTGGTGGAAAGCTAAGTAAAACTACTAAAACGAAAAACATATAGGAAACGTGTAGCTTCTAACATGTGATATGATTGATCAATGGAAATACTGATAAGTGGAAACAATGAAGTAGATGACAAAAGCTAATATAGGTATATAAAGAACTATAATGAACTTGTAAAGAAAGCAAGCAAAAATCCGATTTGTTTGTTTATTTTGTTATCATGGTGGTGAGATTAACCATCTTGTAATTTGGTTGGAGTTAATTTTAGCTAGATTGCTTTTAGAGATCTAAGTCGACTTGTACTGCTTGGATTAAGCATTATATGGATACTGGATGATGATTTATGATTTTTAGTGACTACCAACCTTTTTGACCTTTTTTGTTGTTTGGGTGATGATTCTGCCTCTCCTTGATTCTCTGAGCTTCTTTGTCCGCTATCTCCTTTGTGCTTTTGCTGATGTTGGCGGCAGGGGAGGATGTTTGTGGTGAGGTTTTTTGTTGTCCTTTTTGGATCTCTTTTTGGCTTCTGTTTGTGTGTATGGTGTATCGGCTAAGAGTAGAAGGAAGTAGAATGAGGTGGTCTTATTGCTATCTCTTTTCCTTGTGTATGTTTTGTGTGTTGCTAAAAGAAAGAAGAAGAAATGAGTGGAAGTGGGATTTTTGCAGAGTTTTATGCTCTCTGTTCTGCTCTGTTTCTGCTGGGGTTAAGAGGGTGTCCCTGTTTCTATAGAGTTTTGTTAAGAAGAAGTTGTCTGTCTATGGTGGGCTTGTGGCTGGAAAAAGAAGGTGAAAGAATTAGAAGAGGGTTTCAGGCTGTGGCTGTGTGTTTTGGAAGGGAAGGAGTTTGGGAGTGATCAAGAGATGAAGAAAGAAGGGAGTGGTTTTTGCAGAATTTTCGTTATCTTGTCTTTTGATCAGAAAAGAAAAAGTAGAAGGAAGAAGAAGGTGTCAGGTAAAGGAAGAGAGCCAGGGGAGTTTTTCTTGTTGTCTGTGTATTCCTCTTTTGTTTGGAATTTTGAGGAAGAAGTAGCCGATCAGCAGAAGGAAGTGACAGAGAAGAAAATGTTCAGGGAATGTTCTTTTTGTTCTCCCCTTTTTCCAGAGCTAAAGAGCTCTTTTTATAGCCAAAAATAAGATGTGTTGGCGCAATGTAATTGGATTTGAGAGGTTATAGGGGCCGCCCTCTATGTTTGTGTAGCTTATGGATTGGGTTGGACCGGTTTGGGTATGTGAAGTGGGCTTAACCGGTTTGGGTTGGGCTGACATGGGCATGATTGGTGAATTGAGGTTTTTGGGCTTTTGTATGGACTGACCTGTTGACTGGCATTGACCAGAGTTGACTGGGCTTTGACTTGGATCATTTTATTTTTGTAGTTGTAATTAGTTGTTATGTAATATATTTGTATTAGTAGTTTTTATTTAGTAATGTGATTGTATTTAACGTAATTGTAACTTATTTTAGTGAGATGTTATTTCTATTCCTAATTCTTCTTTTCTTTTATCTATTGAAACCAAAGTTGTAACTTATTTTAGTGAGATGTTATTTCTATTCCTAATTCTTCTTTTCTTTTATCTTTTATCTATTGAAACCAAACTCCAATCTCATAAGATCCAATGTTTTAAAAGCCAATTATACAATCAATTTGTGACCAAAACTAAGTGAATGTTAATTCATCTAATCAAAGCGTGTCATCCTTATCAAATTGTACCAATTAAGATTAGCTATTGCCACTCTCTATTGCTACTCTCATTGATCCACATTGTACTGATGAGCTATGGCCAACAAGACTCCTCATTATAAACACTACAAATACATTTTTAGTTAAAAGATCATTTAAGATTTGCTATTGCCAACCTTAAACAAAAATTAAATTTTACTTAATTAGATACGTTTTACCCGGACAAAATGTGGTGTCTACACTCGCGCTTGGAAAAAGTCCCTTCCCTTCTCCAGTTTCTACTTCCATGGGGAAGGATCTCTCGCGAAGAAAAGTGACTTCGAAGGCAAAGAAGCATATCCAGGTGTTCAGCGACAAGCGTGCTTCCTCCTCCTCCGGCGGCGGCGGGACTGCTCTTGTTTCTGCCACCACCGCTGCTGCCAATCGACGACAGGTCAATCCCCATGTCGATAAACTATTTATGCCAAAGGCATATGGGCACATCTTCGTTTGTTATTTTCTTATTACAAAAAGATGGTATATCCAAATACAGAGCCCTATTACTCTGCTTCCTCATTACGACGCCTGTCGTCGTTATTATCATGGGTTCTTCTGGTTTTGGCTCCATGGCCAACTCTATACACCCATGGCTTGATGGTATTATTCTTTAAAAGTGGAGATCCTCTGTTCAAGTCCGGAATACGACCGTAGCGTCGGTTTGGTTATCATCATCGATCACCTTGGTTTCATGGATCCGACCGGTACTCTGTATTCTTTGCCACCGGCGAAATAGTGATGGCCGTCGGTGACGGAGCTTGACCATCACTGCGATTCCTGGTTTGAAAAATTTTGAATTCCGTTATTTCAGGCTTTAATTGCGACGGTCATTACTATATATTGATTGTTCTAATTCATTCTAATTGGCTTGAAGATTTCTGTGATTTATTTCCATTTATGTTTTCATATTTCTTAATGGCGGCAGTGATTAGGTCGTTTCCCACAACAACGTGTGGGCTTTAGGTAATGTAATTTAATTGAGGCCCCAGTTTTAAATTTCATTTACTTTTTACCGTTTTTTATTGTTTCCGTTTTTAGGGGTTCTTAATTTATTTTGAATTTATTATTATTATTTTCAATTCTTACTTTCCGTAATTCTTCTTCTTTTGGTTTGTTTGACTTTCTTAGTAGAGTCAAATTTTTCAAATGGTTTTTTTTATTTAAATTTTCGGCCTTTGAAAATTGATTGCTACCTATATTTTTTTGCTACAACTTTTATTGTTGTCGTGCTTGGTAATTCTGATAGAGTCTTCTTTTATTTAAGTGGGATATATTTTTTCTTGTATATGCTAGTTCATTTGTCTTGTTTTGCAGGGGATGTTTCCTTTCCTGCCATATTTAGACGCAATCAAGTTGCCTTATTTCACCTTTACGAGTTTTCATGGGGAAGTATTCTCCCTCTCCTCTCTATCTGAGTCAGTTTCGTGTCATTTTGCTCTTCGGAGCTTTCTTAGAGCTGCCCATCTCGTGGCATAACAGACTCTTTCATCGGGAGTCCGGTTGCATACGGACTACCGTTCTTTATTATTATATGTCCTATATATTTGTTGTCCGGCCATGCCCTTGGGGCTTATCTTGGATAAAAAAAACAGTAGGCTTATTCCTTAGAGTTTCTAATGTTGTTTTCAATGCACATGGTCTTAATTTCGTTACGGTATACCAGAAAATCAAGTTAATAGTGGCAAATATTATGAATAAATAATTTTTATCATGTATGACAACATTAAAAGGACAAAATTTTATTCTAAAATATGAAAAATATATAAATAGCAGTTCAATACAAGACACATAACATAATGTAACAAGAACCAATCAACAAAAATACATATAAACCAATCCAATAATATCACAAACAATGTCTACCACAAATATTACTTTCAAAGTGTGCATAAATTATATATAATTAAAGATTCCAAATCATTTAAAATATAAATATATTGATAAAATAAGTCGTACGAAATAAAATGAAACTGAACCGACCAACGATCGGGTATAAGCGAGTTGTAAATAAACTCCAAAAAGTAGCCCTCTTTGGCAACCCATTCACACCAATATTCCACTTCGTTAAGTTTCTCCTTCTTAGGTAGTAACTAGCCTATAGCCCGGCCCGTTGGCCGCATTTGTTTAAGGAAATGGAGTTACAATATCTATAATGATAGTGTCGAGAAATGAGTCTTGTTTTATATTATCATAAGATTGTTGCAATTTTGCAATTCGTTGAAGACGAACATGTAATATGAATGAAAATTCATAATAAGTTAGAAATACATTTGAAGATTAGCTAATCACAATAAAAATACTTACATGAAATTTTACTAATCACAAATCTAATCTAGTTGAGTATTACGACAAATAACATGCAAGTCCAAAATAAGAAAACTCAATACATTGTCTCATTGTTCATGACATGGTACTCAATTCAACAAAGGCAAAAATAATTTCACCAACACAAGTTCACAATAACCAAATGCATCGTTCTAGGGACCGACTGTGACCATGACTTCAAATGTCTGTTCTCCAAGCATGTTCAGAAGGGCCATATAGTCAGCATTGACAACATCTGCATGACTGAATACAGATTCAACAATCATTCGTAACTGTGATGACGGGAAGACGATGTCAACACCAATGAATTCGTCCTCAATTGTGAGGTGGACGAAATGGATTCTGGATGCAGGGGACCAGGACGTCGTCAAATTCGTTACACGTCCGGATAACAAAAAAGAGGTGCCCTGATGTAAACACATAAACGAATATTGTCAAAGCAAATCGATAAAATGCAGCATGCCACAAAAGGCGTACGATTAAAAAGAAATTTATTTGTTTAGTTACCTGATTTTCGACATCCACTTGCAACATAATGAGATCGATGGTGTCGGCACGCTCACAAATTTCAAGAGCATCATCATATTGCAGATTAGCAATAAAACCATGGGGAAGCCTATATATTGGACTGTAAGTTTTGGCATTAAGTAGTGAAAAAGAATTGAAATTACATGATGTAGTATTTGTTGGATGCATGAGCAGTACTTACTGATTGAATTGAGGCAGGCACGCCATATTGAATGCAATTCGCACGGCCAATGGAACCGAAGTGTTTTGTATGGGAAGTAGTAAACGGAAATTGTAACATGAGAGAAAGTGGTATCTCCATTATATAAAGGAGAGAAAGTGATTCTACACACGTGATTTACTTGGCCGCATGTAGTGGAGTACGTGTGTGTGTGGAAAGTGGGATAGTGGGGGAGTGGAGAAGGATTTGTGGCCTCGTGGGGGAGTGGAGAAGGTTGGTCATTTAGAGTTCAAGAGACGGGTGTGTCACGAAACTCACGACCCACCTTCTTTTTTTTTTTTTGAGGGGAACGACCCACCTTCTTAAAATCAAACATGCGCCTTCCTTTTATTTTGTTGCAATTAAAAATTCAAAAACAAAAGAAGGTAAGTACAGAATAAAATATAAAGAGAAGAAAAATCAGTTCACTTTTCCCAAAAAAGACCTAGCAGCCGCCCAAATTATGCTTTTTCAGTTTTAATAATTCTCACTTTATTCTTTTATCTCTAATAAGTGAAACAATAATTGTAAAAAAAATAATTGTTAAGTCTACCAAGTAAGTCAACACCGGTTTATGATCAGTTTTTAATATCGATTAACCACCGGTTATTTGATAAACCTTGAACCCTTTACTAATCCGGATCGATGTCCGGTTCCGTTTTAACAACATTGCTAATTGCGACTGTGTCAACAATTCTTGTCCAAAATTGCCTCTCAAAGTTGCTAATTATTATTTGATGCGCCAACCCGGCCGGCCTGGCCCACACCACCACTAATTAACATGAAATGAAAATCATAATGAATGTATTTAATAAAGAAATAATGGCTTGAAATGCGGCAGCCTTCACCTCATAGAAGATCCAAAAAAATCGGATATTGTGCAGTAGAGGAGGTGGGGGAGTGGGGGAGTGGAGAAGGATCCGCCCAAGGTAGTGTAGGTTGGCCATTTAGTTTCAACAAATCCGGCTGGGCTTTCCCTCTCTAAATATATTTTATTTAACTGAACCATGCTTGGGTTGTTTTGTGGGCTGGGTTGTGGTGTTAATTTAGTTTAGTTCAGTTGCGACTATGGAAGTTCTTCTTCGTATTGCAATATAACGGTCACACTCGCATACCCTTCGGTAGAGTAAATTGAGGTACAATTAAATATAAAGTAGTGTGCATAAATCACATTTCATATAATTGGCTGTTAAAAACAGGAAAATAATTTGGACAAATTGAGAACTCAAGATTCAAATTGTAACGACCCGATAAATTTGACAGTCTTAGTCCTCAAATCGAATAAAACATAATACATCAATAAACCACTACTCAAAAATCTCAGTGAACACAATGTTCTGCATAGTCTTCACCGGTTTACCTTGAGAGTCACAGCTAAGAATCTTGAGTCCCCTTTCCGACGTAACTCGAGACATAGCAACATACAACTGTCCATGAGAAAATACTTGTCTTTGCAAGCAAATGCCAACGTGATTTAATGTTTGACCTTGACTCTTGTTAATTGTCATTGCATATGACAGTGCAATTGGATATTGCCTTCGAACCAGAGTGAAATTTAAGCTCTTGTAGTGGACCGATAGACTTAGGCGTGGTAAGAAAACTGTATCACCAACATGTGTCCCTGTCAAAATTTGGACCTCAATAAACCACTTACCTAATCTCTTAACGATCATCCGAGTTCCATTGCAAAGCCCAGTACTCTGATCCAGATTTCGAAGCAGAATAACAGGGCACCCCAACTTCAATTTCAACTCATGTTCCGGAAAATTCCCAATCTTTAAAGAGTTCAAGAATTCAACTGTGTAGTCCCCTTCTTCAACATGCTGATTCTTGGCTTCAATCTCTAGCGAATCCGGACTAAAATAAGAAACTTCTTCACCAGGAAATAGACCCAATACATAATTGTTAATAGCCGCAACAGTGTCATTATGAGGGGCTAAGATAGCTCGCTCAACCAAATAGGTTGACATATTTTCAGTGGAGAGTAACTGACGATATATTTCAGCAACAATATCAGGAATTGGATCACTGCGACGGGGAACACAAATGTGTAGAGGTATCGGGATAATTGATTCTCCAAAAATATTACTATTTGTACCATCACCAATTTCCAAAAGCCATTTGCTAAAATTTGAGATTGCTAACCTGGCCGATGCTTCAGAATGAGTCAATTTTAATCGCATGTTCTCGGTTAGCTTCAATACTGTCATAGACCGCCACAAATAAGATCTCTTTATGGAAGAATTAACAATTTCAGTCCGTGTACCCTTCGTGATGATAGGTAACGTCTGTCGGAAATCACCTCCAAACACAATAGTCATACCTCCAAAAGGCTTCAACTCAGAATCAACATGCTTAACTCGGAAAATATCCCTCAATGTCCTATCTAGGGCCTCTATGTTGTGTTTATGAGTCATCGGTGCCTCATCCCAGATAATAAGTGAAGCATTGAGAATCAATTCAGCTACCTCAGAACCTTGCTCAATATTGCAAGTTGATTTTGTATCACAATCCAGGGGAATGTGAAATCTTGAGTGTGCAGTTCTTCCACCGACCATGAGCAGTGCAGCAATACTAGATGAAGCAACACATAATACTATCCTCTTCTCAAATCTTAATTGCTCACAAATTGCTCGCCACAGAAATGTCTTACCAGTACCCCCAAATCCATCCACAAAAAAGCATTTACCCTCATTGGTATAAACAGAATGTAATACCATATCGTAAGCGATTTGTTGTTCTCCATTCAACGATCTACTATGTCGATCCTCAGAACAGTCTAAGTCATCGGGTCCATAATTCATCTCCATATCTATCAGCCTGTTTACCGTATGTGAACGCAAACACTGATCGGGAACAGGCAACCCAGGGAAATCTGCTAATGACTTCGAAAATCTCTCCATCAATTTGTCAATATGAATAAGGCACAACTCCTTAATTTCATCCTCCGACAAATTCAACTGGGGTAAATTCAGCTCTCTACGTCGTGAATGCAAAGCCTTCACTTAGTAATTCCCAATTCTTTAACCAAAAAGAAGTCACATCAGCCACCTGACAATGAATAAGAATTGTGACAAAAAGTTTTCTAAGTTTATAACCAGAAGCCCAGTGCGAAGCTTCTTGGACACAATCATTCCATTCAGAATCTCCTGATAACAGTCCCCGGGCATAACATGCTTTTTGGAATGTTTCATATACCACCCCATTCACTGTTCTAATATCATCATAATAACAACAACCCCTAACAACATGCAATAGCATTCGCAAATAGTGGAAAAGGAATATTAGTTCAATGAGGTAAGAGAGTAATGGAT